GGCCTCATAATGACCTAGCTCAGTACACCTCCTATCATCTACCAAACCATTTCAGCCCAGCTTTCCATTTTGTAGGCACTCGTGGGGAGTACCCAGTGCCTTCCAGGCTAGCTTTTCTTCTCACAAAGTTACCTGGAGCTGTATTTCCCAAAGTAGATTCAGTCCCAACTTTTTTGGAACTATCTTTCCTTTCCCATTTACAATACCAACATTCTCACTCAGTCATTCAGAGCATTTATATTGAGTACCTACTATGTATCGGGAACTGTTTGGAGTGTTAGGGATGTAATGATGGGCAAGACTTGATCTCCACCCTGAGGAAGTGTTCTGTCTTTTTCACTGATCCCCCGCACTTTATCAAGCATGCTGCCCTTCTCCAGGGGACTGGTCCCTCTTAACAGCGTACCTAAAGTATGAGAGACTATCTCCCATCCTTGCTTCTAAGGAATGCTCTGGCTGTACTTCTGTTTTGTTTTGATACTTGCTTATATGCTTGTTTAGGAAGTATGGTAGCTCTGTAGAATAAGCACTGGACTGCAAACCACAAGGTCAGCAGTTCGAGCTCACTAGCAGCTCCAGGGAAAAAAGATGAGGCTTTCTGCTCCCACAAAGATTTATAGCTCAGAAACCTTATACAGCGTCTCTATGAGTCAGAACTGACTCTATGGCACTTAACAACAGAATGTGTCAGGAGCTGTTTGGAGTGGTGCCAGGGATATAATGATCAAAATGAAGAATTGCTCTCCATCCTGAGGGAGCTTTCAGGCTATGAAAAATAAAGGAATAATTGTTTAGTTGCTATTGGAGTTGGCTCTGATTTATAACAATCTTATATCTAACAGAACAAAATGTTGTCTGGCCCTGCATCTTCCTCACAATTGTGGTCATATTTGAATTCACTGTTAAACCCACTGTGTCACTCCATCTCCTTAAGGGTCTTCCTCTTTTTCTCTGACCTTCTACTTTACCATGCGTGATGTCCTTCTCCAGGAACTGATTCCTTTTGATGACATGTCCAAAGTCAAAACAATGTGATAAGTGTTATGATAGGGCAGTGTGGAAAGAAAAGGGTACTTTGTTATGTTTCATTAACGTAACAGAGAAACCCCATTCCTAAATGGGATTATACCCATAGGTTCAGGGTTTAGGATTTACAGCATGTATTTTGGTGGGCACGCAACTCAAAATATAACAACGATTAATTAAAGATTGGTGTCCTGGTGTGGTACTGTATGATCAACACTTGACTGTTGACTACAAGGTCAGCAGTTCAAACCCTCCAATTGCTCCTTGGAAACCCTATCTCTATACAGGATCACTCTGAGTCAGAACCGACTTGACGGCAGTCAGAAGGTTGGAGGTTTGAGTCCACCAAGAAGTGGTTCAGAAGAAAAATCTGACAATCTGCTTCCAAAAATTCAGCCATTGAAAACCCTGTGGAGCAGTCTACTGTAACATACGTGGGGTTGTCATGGGTCACAATTGACTTGGTGTCAACTCGTCACTGGTTAAACCAACCTTGTTCCCAAGGGGCAGTCTGCATTTTTTGAACAGAGTAGGCCTCTTAGGGAGCCAAGTAATCCATTGAGCCACAAACATAATGGAGATTCTTAAGAACCACCTTTAGATGCCAGAGATGGAGGCAGAGACGATGACTTGGAGAGATGGAGCAGCTGGGGACTTTAGACCCAGAGAGGGAGAGGGGCTGTGTGCTGACCAGGGGGCAGGCTTGTTAGGGTATACCCTATGGTTGCTTGATGATGCATGGAGGGGATTGTAACCATGGCAACGATAGGATGACTGTAAAACTAATGTTCTCCCATGTAAACTATCACATAATTCACAATAAAACATTAAAAAAAAAAAGGAACCACTTCATTTAAAAATATACAGTTTTGCTAGTTGACTTTATGTTCCCCCTTTGATTTAAATAATGTCACTCCATTTTCTTTCTGGTCTTCTTTGTTTCTGAGAAAGCTCTGCTATTAGCTACCATCTTTGCTGTTCAGTATAGACTTCATTCTGATCGTTTCTACTGCCTTGCCTTTGTTGATTACATTCCGTAACTGTTTTATTTTAGATACTGTGTTTCTCAGTTCTCAGATATCATTAGGTTCCTTTTTTTTTTTTTTTTTTAAGAGTTTTTTCTTTCTTCTGAAATTCCTATCTTTTTCCATATTAAATCCATCTTTTCTCTGTAGATTCTTTAACATACTCACACTTTCAAAATAACAACGAACCTACCCTTTTCTTTCTACGGTAAATGTCTTGGTAAATAGTGACAAACGAAACATTTAACTTGAATACAAAGATTTGGCTAATAGGTTGCTTCATTAAAGTGGTTCATTTGATTTTATGTCTATATGAGTGACTTACAAATGACTCAACTTATTTTGCACAATCACTGCAAGGTCAGTGGTTCAAACCCACCAGCCACTCCTCAGAAACTGTACACAGGGTCACCATGAGTTGGAACCAACTGGATGGTACTTAACAACATCATGAAGATAATTTAAATGTTCATTAAAAATAGTGATGTTTCTAATTCACGTACCATAGAATTTCTCCTTTCAAAGTATATAATTCAGTGGATTCTAGTATATTCTCAGAGTTGTACAACCATTGCCACAAATTTTAGAGCATTTTATCACCCTCCTTCCTCCCCCCAAAATAGTTTTGTACGCATTTATAGTTACTTCTCATTGCCCCCTTTCCCCAAGCCCTGGGAAGCCATAAATCTACTTTCTGTCTCTATGGATTGATCTATTCTAGACATTGTCTATAATGGGATTGTACAATATGTGATCTTCTGTGAATGGCTTCTTTCACTTAACATAGTATTTTCAGTGTTCATCCGTGTGGAAGCATGTATCAGTGCTTCATTCCTTTTTATGGCCAAATAAGATTCCATTTGGTTTATGCATTCATTAGTTGATGGGTATTTAGATTGTTTTTATTTTGGGAGCGATTATGAATAATGCCATATTCATGTACATGTTTTTATGTGAACAAATGTCCTTAATTCTCTCGGCTTTCTGGCTTCCTTCTTTCTGGAATTTTTCTTTCTCAATTTCCAGTCTTTGGTAATCTCATACTCCGTTTTGTAATTCTTTAAGCCAGTGTTGTTGTTAAGTGCTGTCGAGTCGATTCTGATCCATAGCGACCCTGTACAGGGTTTCCAAGGTTGTAAATCTTTACAGGAGCAGAAAGCCTCATCTTTCTCCCGTGAAACTGCTGGTAGTTTCAAACTGTTGACCTTGAGATTAGCAGCCCAATTTGTAACCATTACGCTACCAGAGCTCCTTAGGCCAATAAGACTGTGAATTTCTGTCTGAATTCTATCTGCCCCATGATGTGCAGACTGGGGAGTTCCCTCAGCCACACCAACCTGGATCTAACCCAGTGTGGTTGCCTTATTTCATGGATTGAGTCCCTTCCAATTTCTGCCTGCTTTGGATTGCTCTCTACTGCCTTCAGTTATTTTATTTTTTCCCCCACAAAGTATTTTGTACAGTGTTTATTATTATTACTGGTAGGAGAGTTTCTTAGTCCCTTAGAAACTACTCAGCCATTACTGGAAGTCAGAAGTTGCAGACTAGGGAATCTGGATTTTCCTGTGTAAGCTGGAAGATTTTTCATGGAAGAGTGATGTCATGAGTTTATGTCTTTGTGGATTAGTTTGGTAGTGAACTATAGGACACGTTGGTGAGGAAAAAGGAGATGAGGGAAGTTAGTAGATTCTTGCAGTAATTCAGGAGAGATGAAAAAACAGGCTTTAATTGGAGACAGTGGAAATAAATGAAAAGGATGAGCAGGTGGGAGAGATGAAAACAATGGTCCACATTTCAAGCTGGGCTCATGGAACCATAGTGTTTTAGTGCTGCTGACACAGAAATGGGGCACTGGCGGGTAAGCTCTAGACTGCTAACCTATGGGTCAGTGGTTCAAACCAACCAGCTGCTTCTTGGAAACCCAATACAGGGTCAGTATGAGTCAGAACTGACTCAATAGCACTTAACAATAACAACAACATAACAGAAATACCACACACAGATGGGTGGCTTTAAAGATAAAAAATTACTGTTCTCACAGTGCAGGAGGCTAGAATGTCGGGCAGGGCTGCAGGGGAAGGTGCTCTCTCTCTCCCTCTGGCTCACTCTTGGGCAGATCGCTGCCTCACCTTCTCCAGGCCCAGCATTCCTCAGTTCTTGGTAATGGCCACGTAACATCTACCTTCCCACATTTGTGTTTGTCTCTGCGTCACTGCTGCTCTTTAACTCTGAAGTGATTAGGTTTCTGACATGCCCCTCACTGATAGGGCCTTATTAACATATTGAAGAAATCTTATTGCTATACAGGATTACATCCACAGTATGAAGACAAAAAGTCACCAATGAGTCCATTTTGACTCATAGCGACTCTTTAGGGCAGACTAGAACTGCCTCATAGGGTTTATGAGGCTGGACTCTTCAAAGAAGCAGATTGCCACGTCTGTCTCCTACAGAACGTGGGTTCAAACCACATTAGCAGCCAAACACTTAACCACTTGTTATAATCCCAGCAAAGTTTTTGGTAGTACATTTCAGACCTCCTCACAGCAAAGGTTAAATGAGCAGTGAATATTACCAGAGAGTCCAGCCTAGTTAAAGGTTAGTCCTAAGAGTGTCTTTGCAGCAGCCTGGGATTTACTCATCTTGTGTTAGTCCTGGAAAAATGCCCTGACTGAATCTGCAGGTCATCCTGGGTGATCTGAAGTCTGTTGAAGGCAATCCCAGATCTAACTGCCCTGATCCAAGGGTCTGTTGGGAAACACTGAGTTTCCTTCCAGCATCAAGGTCTGGAGTGGAGCCAGACAGGAGTTGGGGAAGGACAGGAAAGAGGGGTTGCAGACTCAGATCTGGATATCAACTCTCTTGGGCCTGTTCTTGGAGATGGGCAAGATTAAATAGCCAGTGATCCTTGACCTTAATTACTAGCTTTGTTGCTTTCTCTTTCTAAAGGTCAAATGGATGATGTACTGGATTATATTTGCACTTTTCACTACAGCAGAGACATTCACAGACATCTTCCTTTGTTGGTAAGTACTCCAAGATTTGAAACATTCATGGGAGGATTTCACCTAGCCTCACAGGAGTAGTGGGAAATAGCTAAAACCAGCTTTAGATCTTACCTCAGACCAGAATCAGAGATGCAGAGTATTGTAAATGTATCAGTTTGTCAAAGTTATTCTTCCTGTACGTATTTATTGAACAACCTTGTATGCAGGTATTATTCTAGGCACTGGAGATTCAGTAATGGACAAACCAGAAGAATTATGAAGTGGCTGTTGATGAGTAATGAAAGGAAATTTGGAGGGAAGGTAGAGCCCTGTCCCCACTATTCTCCCACTGTAGTTTATAGGTGGGGTTACCCATCTGTTTTAGAGACATGTCTAACCTGGCTTTGCTTTTCCTGTAATTCCTAACACATACTTTCTTAGGGTTTCAATAGAATTTTCTGATTGAAAAGTTGAATAAATCAGTTAATATAAAAAGGTATCAATAAATAGCTAATGACTATTTTTGAGTAGAAAAGTAGGGCAGGAAAAAAAGTTTGAGGAAAAAAATGGAAAGACAATAAAATAATTACTAATAATAGTAGAATGCAGTCTTGAGAGTTTAGTTATGCTAATAAGACCTCCTCTAAACCAAAGTCCTGGGAAGGGCAGGAATGAGCAGGCTGTAACCACTTCTTCAATGTTTCTCTGAATGGTTATGCCAGCTGTCAGTCTGAGGACCAAACCCATTCCTTTGTTATTCCTTTATAATCAACTGATTTGGGATTTTCCTAGCCCCCAGATAGTTTCAAAGGAAACTCCATTAGCCAAGGTGAATAGGGGATAGTGTTACAACAGACCTGAAGAGGGAATAGTGAGCCAGTCCTGAGCTGCCTAGCAGGGAAGCACCCAAGTGGGCAGACCTGCAGGCCAACCCAAAAGATGTCTTCTATTCCAGCCTGCCATGGGAGATGCTTTGCTTGCCAGACAAGAGACAACCTGGTAGTGGAGCCAGAAGACTAGTGAAGCCAGAAGATTGGGAGACAGGAGGATTGTAAAAATTGTGCTAGTGAGGGTGGGCTATGCAGGAAAGAGCCCAAAGAACAGAGAAGGTCTAGGAGCAAGCTGGCCAGGGAATAAATGAGGCTTTCTTGAACAATCTAAAAGGACTGCTCAAAAACCAAAGTGAAAACTCACTCCTCATGCCCTTCATCCCCATAGCAGGGTCTCTCATACATTCTGCAAAGAGGTGCAACCTCTCTCTACATGTAAAATTCACACAGGAATTTCACTTCTGGGAGTTTATCCTAAAGACACCTTGGTGTGGTGTACATGCATGGCTTTTTAAAGTTGATGGAAAGTGGAATACAAAGAGAATGGATTTTTTTCCATGGACTTTTGGAAGTCCCTTGTATGTAAAGGAGCATACACAAGGAGGTCCAGTGTGGCTCTGCTGTTGCAGCTTTCCACCCCTGGGGACTTAGGTAGTTAGATGCTAGTACATCCATATGCAGTAACTGAGAAGAGTGACTAGGTGTAGATTTTAGTAGCATGTGCAGTCTGAAATGGATCGACTATACAGTCAATACACACTGATAATTACTGGTAATTCTAATGTGAAAGTTGGGAACAAAGAAGGATGGGTAGCTAGAAAATATGGCCTTGGTGATAGAAATGATGTCATAGATCATTCGATAGAATGTTGCAAGATCAATGATTTAATCATTGCAAATACCTTTTCTCAACAACATAAACAGTGACAATATATGTGGACCCCACCAGATGGTCTACACAGAAATCAAATCAATGGCATCTGTAGAAAATGTAGATGATGAAAAATGTCAATATCATCAGTCAGAACAAGGGACCTACTTCAGAAGAGACCATCAATTGCTCATATGAAAGTTCAATTTGAAGCTTAAGAAAATTCACAAGAGTCAAAGTATGACCATGAGCATAGCCCATCTGAATTTAGAAATGATCCCAAGACTAGATGAAATGCATTGAACACCAGTGACTAAAGACCAGAGGATCATACATGAAAATAGTAAAAGGTCATTAAAAATGAAAGAAAGAAAATACCAAAATAGATGTCAGAAGAGACTCTAAAGTTTACTCCTGAACGTAGAATAGCTAAAGCAAAAGGACGAAATGATGAAGTAAAAGAGCTGAACAGAAGATTTTCAAGAACATCTCAAGAAGGCAAAGTATTATAATGAAATGCACAAAGAACTGGAGTTTGAAAACCAAAAGGGAAGAATATACTTAGCATATAACAAGCTGAAAGAACTGAAGAAAAAGGTTAAGCCTTAAATTCTAATAATAAAAAGACAAAATACTGAATGATTCTGGAAGCATCAAAAGATGATGGAAGAGGTAAATAGTGATGTATGCACAACCTTGGAACAACAGGGCTCTGGGATACAGAGATTGAGACATGGTTGGAATGGGGAAAAGGGGGGAATGATGTTAAGATGCTTGGCTGTCTTTTGAATCTTGGTTTTCCTTGCATTATATTATAAAATAGACGCTGGAGGGGGAGAGAAAGGAATAGCCAGAAACATCACCATAAAAAGCTTGTAAGTCCGTCTTCTGCCTAAAACTGATTGGAATACCTAAAATGGGGCTACAGTGTACCCAGTGAAGGAGGCTTCCTGCGGAGCCTCTGTAATACATAAGACTATAGATGGAAGCCTGAACCACATCCAGATCTCCAGAGATGGGAAATTTCCACTTGAAAGGATGAGCAGACCAGCCTGGAGCAGCTAGAAGAACAGAAGATACTTCTTGAAAGAAAGACCTACAGGAAAAATACAAAACAACATAGGCAGACTGACTGTTACTATGAGAACAAGCAAATTGCTTGCCCAGGAAACATCAAGGCAAGTGGTCGGGTCCCCTCAGTGCAAACCCCCTTCCAAGACTTAGACTCAATGGGAATACACGCTCTAGTTGGTGACCACACTCATCACTGATAAGGGGAAGTGAGGGAAAAACAGCAGTGAAGCGGCAAGCTAAGCCCTACAATGTTCAATAGACATCTGTGTACCTTAGTGGAGACCTGGTTGGCTAGCAGTGTGGCAAGACCTGGGGACTCTTGGGCCCAGAGTCAGTGACATAGCCACAAAGGCCTAGAGTAGACAGTGAAATGTCCAGCTGATAAGAAGAGAGGGCATATGCACAATAACACCCATACTTGCAGATAATACCCACTT